TATATATATATTATTTTTAATTTAATGTCAAAGTTCTAATAAACTATTCCGCCAACTATCAATTTATATTTTTAATTTTTTTTTAAATAATTTCAACAATGAATAAAATTTATTGTTTTTCTTTTTTGTTATATTAAATGGTATAATGTTAATGGGACGGTATGTCCAAGTATGCAACGTGGCAGTACTTGATGCGCACTGCCTTAGGTTCGAAACTTGTTCATGTGCAGCTTCATTTGCCGAACGAGAGATCAGTTCTATAATTGGAGTCACCATCCCCTCTCTCCAGTAACCACCCGACCCGGAGTATCAACGGTTATAAAACCTCCACTTTACGGGAGATTTTGTGGTCTTCAATGGGCACAAAAAAATATATATATAATTATGTTTATGGAAGTTATTAATAATGTACGCACAATTTATTGATTAATAAATTGTGAATACACTAATAAAATTCAAAATTTTAAAATAAATAGATAAATATTTACTGGATTGAACACTTCTTGGTGAATTCCACGTTTGTATTTTAGCCGATGCGAATAAAATAAAAATTATATTACTAATAAATAAAACCGCAGCTCCAATGAAAAAAATTATTCGCCATTGTACAACTGAAGACTAGAATAAAAAAATTTTTTTTTAAATAAAATTGTCTATAAAAATGTTATTTATTTTCAAAAAATTACGATAGCTTTTAAAGTCATATAGTGCTCTTACCAAATCTTTTACGACAAATCCTACCACAGTAGGGGCTAAAAGGCCACCTAAAGATGCTGTTCCATTAGATAATCCCATTAAAAGACCGGCAAAATTTGGAGATAAGTCTAAATGGTTGACTTTAAATCCAACGTAACCTGCACAATTTATAGCCATAATAAAAATGTAGATGAAAATGGCCATATTATTGGTATTATTAACATAACCAAGTGCTAGAAGACCTGTGGCACCACCCCACATGGAAAAAGTATTCCATATTTTTCTAGATGTTGTCAACGAAGTGCACTCGTATCTGTTAAGAGTGTCTGCTATGTAATATATTGGAAACTGGAGCAGAAACGTGGATAGATAAGGTAAAGCCGATAGAAATCCGTCCTTCTTAATATCCATACCAAGTACAGTGTGGAGATATGTGGGCATTTGTGTCAACAATAGCCAAAATCCCCAGTTGTTTCCTACGTGCGCAACAACTAAAGTCCAAACAGGTCTAGATGTAAGTATTGAACGCCAAGGTATTATATTTTCCTGTAAATAAGTTTTGCTTAATTAACATAAAGTACAACATAATTTTAATAAATTTGCTATAGTGATTTATTTTTTTAAATTCGTAGTAAAACATTATTCCATTTGTATTAATACTTTTCATCATAAATACTTCAAAAACAATTACACAACATGATGTTTACACATACTATCTTTTTCATACTGTCATACTTTCTCTTTTAATCATGATAAACAGAAACAAACAAAAGCAAAATTAGCTACAAAGAATAACATTTCAAAAGACCATAATTAACTTGAATACATGTTTCATCTTTTAATGAGTTGTTTATGCAATTAAAATAACTCAATATAATTTGTCAAGGTATAAAAATATGAATGAAACAATCAAATTAATTTATTACAGCTTGTAAAGTTAGGTAATTTTTATGCATAGAATGTAACATGCGGCTTGCTTGTGATAATAAAACATTTCTAAGTAAGAACTATGAATATTATGTTGATAATAGTCTATGGACTATAGAGGCTTAGCAAAAATCAAATAATAAAAGTTTATCAGTTAATTTTTCAATTTTTTCGATCGTCGTGCACGTGCTGAAGTCTCCAAACTTTACTAGTAGGCATTTAATAATCTATTTTACTTAAATTATGTCAATAGTACATTTTATTTTTTTTCAGTTATTCAGCTTATTCGTTGAAATATAGTATATTATATAACACAAAAGTAAAAACTTTATTTTAGTCATTCATTATAATAGATCTTACAGTGTTAAGATTTATTAATTGTATTTTCACTCTACAGATCGTAACACATCAAAATGATTATGTTCATTGTTAAATAAGTTTTAATTTACTGTTGATGCATTTAATTATTAAATATATAAACTATATACAGCATGATCACAATTTCATGTTACAAACTTTTTCTCGAATATAATCGAAATTAAAAACAGAGTTTCACAAAAACAGTTTTTATCATAACATAATTTAATTATGTAAAACTCGTATTTTTTAAATTTTATGACATTTTAAGGGCTTAGCTTATAAAATTCATTCAAAATTTATTTATTTTTTTTCGACCTCGGAGTAACACAAAATTTGTATTATAAAATACATTTTTTTCATAGACAATATTTATAAAAAAATTAATTAAAATGCATAATCTAAAAAACCATACGTTATTTGACTTTATAGAGTCAGCCCTCTAAAAAATTAATTTTTTAGTATTAATTCAGACCATTAATAAAAATTGATTAGACAGTGCAACACTTATAAACTTTTATTGTTCGATATCACTTTTTGATAATATAAACTATAATATTTCATAAAAATTTAAGCACAACAAACTTAGTAAAATAACATTAATACTCCCCGTACTTGATTAAATCAAATAGACAATTGTGAGATATAAATAATGATATCTCCTAGACTTACTTCCTAAAACCCTTTTAATACTTTTTTTTAAAATACGAGTTTGACATAATTGTATGAAGTTATGATAATTATGTTTTGTTTGAAACACATTTTTTATATTTTCAATGATTTACAAAAAAAAGTTTGTAATATGACATCACTCTGTATTTGATTTGACACTTACTTTTGTTCGTTGGGACACTTCTGTTTTCAGTTGATCTTTGATACAGTTGGCTTCAGATTCTCCTAAAAGTCTGTGAGAGCTCTGAGGAGATTCTGAGCCCAACAGTGTCCATATGACAGTGCTTAACAAGCTGACAGTACCAGTAACGTAAAATATACTCGGCCAACCAAACGAACTGCTAGCTAGTAATCCAGAAAAGACTAATGCGCTCATAGTACCACATTGAATACCACTCATGATAAAACCCACTAATCGGCCGCGTTCAGAAGGCAGTGCCCATCGAGCTATGATACCGTGGCACATTGGCAACAAGAACGACTGAAACACACCTTGAGTGAAGCGCACCGCAATTAGACCTGGCGCACCAAAGCTCAGTAAAGCGGTTGGTGTAATTAAGGCCAGTAAGGAAGTAACCGCTGAGCAAATGGTCAATAGCGTTTTGTTATTGAAGTGGCAACCGAGGATGGATGCCGGTATATTAGCCACGAGATAGCCAAAAAAAAAAGAACTTAATATTGTGCTTCGGGTTTCAGCTGACCAATCAAATATGGGGATTCCGTCCATTTTAGATTGCATGTAGTCAGTTGAATTCATTTTTGGACTCATGGCCACAATGGCCATAGATAAATTAACACGGAGAACAAAATTGGATAGAACGCATAAAAATAACATGAAACTCACTAAATGCCGGAATCCCAGTAATGGTAGGTTTGCTATAACAACAAATAAACAATTTTTATTTATTTGAATCCATCTAAAGTTTCATGACTGATTAAAAACACAATATTGTTAAAAGGAGATCATCATGTTATACCATTAAGTCATTATTTATAATATTAAAGGTATCTTACATTTAGTCAATAAGATTCATTTTTATTCACACATCAAGACCACAAATTCGCATAATTACCTAATAAATAAGACTAGGAGTTATAAGTATTTATAAATTCATAAGGGGCATTACCCCCCTAAAATGAGAAATATTTTTACGCTTCTATACTTTATAATACTATGACAAAGCTACACTTAAGACCCTTCAAAGTGACTCAAACAAAATTTATAAATGCATATAACTCCTACACCTATTACATGAGAACTCAATCTTGTCATTTTTATTTTTTATAGTTTTGAATATTATATTCTAAATTAACGTTTTTAATGCTAACCTTAAGAAATTATTATTAAAAAAAGGTGAAAAAATAAATATTGTATATTATTATGCACTCTTAATCATTATTGAAATATTTTATTGAATTTTATATTATTTTATTGAAATCATTTAAAATTATATGAATTTTTTATGTAGGCGACATTATAATAATTATGATACTATATATTATACTGCATAACTCTTTACAGTTGTGTTTATAAAATATTTTCGTCTTTAAAAATTGATATAATTTAAAAAGAAGTATGATACTTGAATAATAAAGTTAATCCGTTACAATTGCAATTTTAAGACTTATTGGTTATTAAAATGATGTTTATTTTTACTTTATTTTATAATTATTTTATTTGTATATCAAATAAAAAATTTTTTCTCGTTTACTTAAAATATTAAATATTTCATCAGTTTTAATAAAATTTAAACTTATATAATATGATTTACATACGGTTTTTGGCGTTCATATCAAATGATTTCGGCTTCAGTTTATTTGATTCGTTAAGATAAAAGTATCGACAAAAATTTACTGTTGAGATAAAACTTGAGGTAGCATATAGTATTGAAAGCCCCCACTTTTCCACTATGTGGTATTAATGATGCAATGGAAGCTGTGTTGTGCCTAATGAATAGGATTTTATTTTGTTCCAACTTACTTAGTTTTAATTTTTAACCTTGATTTTTAATCTCGCTAAAAAAAATGTATGGTAAATTAGGCATTTAGAACAAAATGATATAATCGACAAATAGTCTAAAAATAAAACATTTCCGAATATATTTAAATCAAGCTAAACGACATTTGACAAGTCTCAATGTATACGAAATACTTGTCGATTCTCTTCCTACTAAAAAATTGTAAGTAATTAGTTTGTTTTTAATTGTTTTATTAAACTTTAGCCTAAATTAAAACGTATTTTAAAACAACGAGTATTTAATTCCTTTGGTAAAATTTCTAATTTGATTTTTGCCCATGGAAAATATGTGGGTATATCTTTTGTCCAATACTTTTAATTCACCTAGGAAATATGAACTCCAATTAATGAGAGTTACATCTCCTCTATAAATAATATTGAATTGATGATTAAAATCATTCTTCCATACAGTCGCAGTATAAGATAAAACGGCCCATTAGAAAAGTTAAATACAATTTTAATTTAAAGATTTAATTTTAATTTTTCTAGCAAATACAAAAAAATCCATACTTTAATAAAATAGATTGCAATTTTTTAAAGTAATAAACAAATTTTGACGCATTATTAAAGAACTTTAATTACTAATAAAAGTTTTCAACAGTCATAATTAAATGATTTAATTTACATTATCCAAAACAATAGTGGACATGAATTATTTAAAAATTTCATTTTTTTAACTTTTCAATTTAACTAGTTTTACTAACCGAACAAAAATCTTGCCATTTTTCAGTTAAATAGATAATAAAAATCAATCTAAATTCAAAATTTCATAACATCTGTATATATTTATACGCTTTATATGTGGTTTAAATTAATAAATAAATATAACTACTTATCAAAGTTACTAAAATGAAGTGGGATTAAGTTTAATTTTTCACTGCCCTAAATACTATACTAATATATTACGATATAACTTTTAGAATTAATTCAGAGAGTGAGTATTTTTCAATTTGGGAGCCAAGTCTCTATAATTGCTTTAGTATTTAAACTAATTACGGGCTTTAATGTTGCTCATTATAAATTATGAAACTAGATTAATTGCGTTAACTTGCCTAACTTTTATCTAAAATGTTCAGTATTTCAAAAAGTACAAGTTAAATAGAACAATTTTACCCTTAAAGAAATGTTACGTTTTAACTAGCAGTTTTTAAAGTGTAGCAAAAATGATTGTAGGAGGTACGAAAGTATAAATTCTTTTAAAAATAACATTTTATTCATATTAGTGTGCCAAATTACTTAACAATATATTTTCTGTAGTCTAAAATTTTTTATTATAATTTTAAGTAAAATTTTATGGAATGTCAGATAACATTTTAATTAATTATTTTAAAATAGATTTTTTTTTTTTTAAATAAAAAAAATGAGTAATTTTTTACTTTTTCGTGTTTTACGAAAACCCATTAATAATTAAAATGATAAAATTAGATAATCGCTGAACTTAAAAGAGAATTTTACAATAAATACCATGATGATTTTTATTTTTACTTAAATAACTGTTTAAATTAGCATCTATGAACATTTTTTCGAGATAAAAAAATATTAATATTTTTAGGTTGTATAGAACGCACTGTTTTGGTTACTAATTTTATATTTGTTACTTCTTTCATTATACCTACCGTATTTTACTATTTACTACTAAAATTATTTTCATAAAACATAAGATTATAATGTCATAAAAGATACTTATCAAAAATATAAATCACTATTAGAAAAAAATGTAAAATATATCAGATTTCATAAAAATTAAAACTATATTAAAAATATTAATATAAAATTAAAAAATATACAACTTTCAAAGAAATTGCTTAAGGCATAAACTGTTAATCAATCACTCTGTATAAGTGAATATTTTTCAGTACGTTTATTCAATTTTTTAGTACTTTCTTATGCCTTCTTTGCATTAACTATTTTTTAATTTTATATAATATAGGATCAATATTTAATATAGATTTCATTAATATCACAATACTGAATGAAAGTACTCATAAATGATTTCGCTTAGAACATTTTTATAATGTTTTGATAGCTTTTTAGATCTATCAATAATTAATAGTATGATCTAAATTAACAAAAGTATAGCATTATCCAATCTACTGTTTCCAATAGATATTTTAAAACTATTTTACATTTATTTTAGATACATTTTATAAAGATTTAGTGTACAAATACAAAAAGTGGTTAAATAGATAATACATAGATCTTTAATCATTCAGAATAAATAAATAAGCATTTTAATATATTTATGTTATTCTTTCGTTTTCCTAGACGATTTTTGTGCTTATTTGGTTAGCTCGGGATCTCTGGTTGAATTTGAGCACAAACATCAAACTTTTTTTACAGGTTCATTCTAGAAAAAAAAATTATACACTAATTATATTTTACAAAGCAAATTCCACTTAATTGTGATAATTTTAAAAATTTTAAATTAATTTTCTGTTATATTGCTTGTTAAATATTTTTTTATTTCTCAATTATGAGAAGTACGAAACCGTACTTATACGAATATATAAATATTAAAATAGAATTAATATAGTTTAATAACTTAAATATTTGTTCATTTGCTAATCATATAATATTTGCTAATCCCGTATCCTTCACAATACTTCAAATCTAGAATTTAGCTAATAATTTATTGATCTATAAATGTCACTCACGTCATAATTATATTACTTCATACTAAAATCTTTATAGGCTTAGTTAATCATAAATTTTTTGAACAAATAGTTAGGAGATATAATTTAAAATTTAACATATGATATGAATGCAGCAAAAAAAAAAAAGTTTCAATAATTACATAGATAATAATAAAAATAAATTAATAGCAGAGTAATAATCAATAAAATTTTGATTAGCCTATCAGTTTTAAGTATATTAATAGATTTAATAAGCATGATTTAGTAAAATTAGTTTTTTTACTATGGCTCACATTAATAAACATACAAATTAAAAGAAATGAATGTGAGCTTCTTTTATTGTTTATTACTTTAATTCAAAACGTCAATTCCTTCTAGTTCAATATTAAATAAAAAATAGATTGAACTATATCAAAATTATAAAAAAAAAATAGTTGGATCAAGTATAGCGATATCTGACAGTGATTAAAATCACTATAAAAAAAAAAACGCTTCGATGCAAATCTTTAGATAGTGTTTAATTTTAAAAAATTGGTGGATTATTCCAAAAGTTACATGATCTGGTAGTTCCTTATTAATATCCTGATTAAGATAAAGTATGTCGAATGAAAAAGGAATTATTAAAAAATATTACTTCTCATGAAAAAATTGTATTGATCCATACATTTTTTAAAAAGTTATAGCACTTTAAAGTAAAATACCCAGCACAGGGGGGTCGCGGCACAGTGGTGACGTGGCATAGATGGANAAGCTTTTGGAATAGTCCACCAATTTTTTAAAATTAAACAGTATCTAAAGATTTGCATCGAAGCGTTTTTTTTTTATAGTGATTTTAATCACTGTGAGATATCATTATATTTGATCCATCTATACCACGTTACCACTGTGCCGCGACCCCCCTGTGCTGGGTTTTTTAAAATATTATAGCATTATAAAGTTAAAAATATAAAAAAGAATTTTTTTTACAAAAATCGTATTTTTTTTATTAAGTTTGATGTCTGTTTTCACCGTGAAGATAAGATAAAGTCCGAAATTTTTTTTTTGCATAATAAAGTATATTACATTAGCTTTAATTTAAGATATATATAAAAGTGTCAGACTTTCCGGAACACTTTCAAAATTTAAGTTGAAAAAGTCAATTTTTTGTGAAAAAGTTGTCATTTTGAATCCCCCCCTGTAGGCAGGTAAAAAGTCAGATTTATAAAAAAAATATACCAAATGATAGGTAAAGACATCATGCATCTACAAAAAAAAGAATTATATTGATCCATACATCTTTCGAGAAGTTATAGATTATAAAGTTAAAAATATAAAAAAGAATTTTTTTTACAAAAATCGTATTTTTTTTATAAACTTTGATGTCTGTTTTCACCGTGAAGATAAGATAAAGTCCGAAATTTTTTTTTTGCATAATAAANGTTATAGCTCTATAAAGTTAAAAATGTAAAAAATAAAATTGAGAATTTTCACACAATAATAGCATTTGGTAGCCAATTTCACCTTGAAGACAAAATAAAGTCCGAAATTTTTTTATTCCATGATAAAATATATTACATTAGCTTTAATTTAAGATATATATAAGTGTCAGACTTTCCGGAACACTTTCAAAAGTTAAGTTGAAAAAGTTCTACTTTTNTATAAAAGTGTCAGACCTTCCGGAACATTTTCAAAATTTAAGTTAAAAAAATTAATTTTTTGTGAAAAAGTTGTCATTTTAAATCCCCCCCAGTGGGCACGTATTGGGTCATATATAAAAATAAAAAATACCAAATGACAGGTAAAGACATCATGCATCTATAAAAAAAAGAGTTATATTCATCCATACATTTTTCAAAAAGTTATAGCATAATAAAGTTAAAAATGGAAAATACAAAATCGAAAATTTTTGCACAAAAATAGCATTTGGTAGCCATTTTCACCATGAAGATAAGATAAAATCTGACANCATACATTTTTCAAAAAGTTATAGCATAATAAAGTTAAAAATGGAAAATACAAAATCGAAAATTTTTGCACAAAAATAGCATTCGGTAGCCATCTTCACCATGAAGATAAGATAAAGTCCGAAATTTTTTTTTTCATTATAAAGCATATTACATTAGCTTTAATTTAAGATATATATAAAAGTGTCAGACCTTCCGGAACATTTTCAAAATTTAAGTTAACAAAATTAATTTTTTGTGAAAAAGCTGTCATTTTAAATCCCCTCTTGTGGGCAGGTTAAGGGTTAAATTTATGAAAAAAATATACCAAATGAAAGGTAATGATATTATGCATCTATATAAAAAAGAACTATATTGATATGTTCATTTTTGATAAAGTTATGGCAGTTTTAAGTAAAAATAATTGAAAAAATTTCGAAAATAAGCGATTTTTAAATTTGTAATTTTTTTGGAGGTTTCCCCCATTTACGGGGAACGAGGGAATTTTTTTCAATTTTTAAGGGTAATGTCTTCGACTAGATACGATTTGTGATCTTTTGACGTATCATTGAAAGAAATCGGTTCAGTGAGAGCTGAGAAAAAGTGGTAACAGACACAAAAAAAAAAAAAAAAATAAACACATCTTAGTAAAACCAATACCTTCTCAGCTTCGCATCGAAGCTAAAATGTAAATTATAAAATCGAGAATTTTCACACAAAAATAGCATTCGGTAGCCATTTTCACCGTGAAGACAAATCCAGAGGTCAAATTTTTTTTTTCAAATAAAAAGTACATTACATTAGCTTTAATTTAAGATATATATAAAAAAAGTGTCAGACTTTCCGGAATATTTTCAAAAGTTAAGTTGAAAAAGTTAATTTTTTGTGAAAAAGTTGTCATTTTAAAACCCCCCCTTGTGGGCAGATAAAGGGTTAAATTTATGAAAATAATAGGTAAATATCTCATGTATCTATAAAAAACAATTATATTGATTTGTTCAATTTTGAAAAAGTTATGGTAGTTTTAAGTAAAAAAAAAATGAAAAAATTTCGAAAATTAGCGATTTTTAAATTTGTAATTTTTTTGGAGATTTCTCCCATTTACAAGGAACGAGGGAAATTTTTTCTATTTTTGAGGGTAATATCTTCGACTAGATACGATTTGTGATCTTTTGACGTATCCTTGAAAGAAATCCGTTCGGTGATACCTGAGAAATAGTGGTAACAGACAAAAAAAAAACACATCATTGTAAAACCAATACCTTCTCAGCTTCGCATCGAAGCTAAAAATACTATTTTGTTTGATTATTTATTTCTTAATATTGACTTATTATATTATCATTTATACTGCACGTAATAATTTTCTATTTTTAGGTGAATGATGGATGATTTATTTACTGATTTTTCTCAGCTTTCGTAGTTGTAATTGTTATGTTTCGTTCGACGTTCATTCCAAAAATATTTACTTTAAACGTAGTTAATAAGCAAGGCTAATGTAGCTAACATACTATAGTTTGTTCAACATAATAAATGTTAAATTATATTTATTCGTATAATAAGATAACGAGGAAGGGATAATTTACTTAAAGGTGCTATCGTTTTAGGACGAAATTGCAAATTTGATTACCACAGTAGGTAAATATGTTTATTATGAAACAAATTTTATGTGTCATATTATATTTATAAGCAGTGGCGTAGTAAAGGTTTCATAATGAGAGGCATAGTAAAAAATCTATGAAATTCCATATCTTTTACCTTTTTTTTTTCTTGACTCTTCAGTTAATTTTAAAGATTAATATTGCTATCACTGAATATGTTAAACCTCTCATCACTTGGCTACGCAATTGTCTATAGATATTGAATAATATTTGAGATATGCCTAGTCAATATCAACATAAAATTATCTGAAATATAGTTTCTATGGTTATTGTTCAAAAATTCAAGTCATATATCATAGTCAGACATTGATATCAAGAGCTCTTAAATAGGCTATGAGTTATCAAAAATGTATTTAAGTACTTTTTAAGTGATAAAAAGAAGTTTAAGTTATTAATTCATAAGCCTTTTGCTATAACAAGAAAACGAAGGTGCAAAACTAATTTAATAACAAACTTAAATTCAATCAATTCTATGGATAAATACTGTTTATAACATATATTTTGATTAAGAATGTTATTTTGTAAAGCATGTATCATAGTAAGTTATCTTATTGTTTACCGCTTATCAGGTTTTATTGTTTTTGTAAACATGCCATTCATACATTTTATTACAAGCTCACAAAACAAAACTAAATACTTCGTATAAACTTAATATTATTATTTTTGTTTAATTAAATTTTATATTAGATAATACATAAATTATATCAAAAAATGTATTTTTTTTTTAAGTTTTAAGGTAAAATGTTTATATTTATTATTTCTACTGTTTCTATGTAAGTATTGAAGATTTATAACTTTAATTTCGTACATAAATTATTATGATTAGAACTCAAAAATTAATAACCTAAAAAACCTTTTAAAATAAAAAAATAGCTTTAAAAACAAAAATCTATCGAAAACGATATTAAAATACTTTAAAATATGATTTAAAATAAAGTTTTAAAACATCTAGTAACAAGTTATAAAATACTAATACATGTAAAAATGACTGAATTATAACAATGTCAATAAAAAATATTAAGTAAAAGTTTTGAATTTTATTTTCAAACCTCACGTAATGAATATTTACTATTCATTAAACTTTAGTAGCATTTACGTACTTAATATTTTCAATTTACTAGGTATAACTATAGATGAATATAAAAACTGTTTTTTCAGTTTATTTCTGAGAAAAATGAATTAAATACTTATTAAAAAAAACTGAAAAATTATTAAAAAATGAATAATACACATTTTAAAATGGGTATCGTTGCATATGTTATATGTATCGATATCCATCAACAAGAATGCTACAATGATTAGTTGTAACAGTGTATTGAAGACAAACATCCTTCAATAGAGACATAAGTTAGCATCTTGAAAAACAAATTATAACGACAATTAATTTCAGTAATTATGTTTATTGTATAATACGATTAACATGATAGATTAAATTGCCCTTATGTTTAAATACATAGAATTATTTATTTTTGAACTACTCTTATGCGTGAAAAATGTCAAGAGTATATAAATCACATATTTGGGAAACAACGTAAGCCCAATTATAAAATTTTGTATAATCAGTAAAAAAATGTTAAATGACGACTGAGGGATCGCGTTTAAATTTATGTATCAAAAGAAAACTTACAAATTAAATTTTTTAAAGAACTTTATCAACAAATTTTATAAATTATCCACAATAAAATAATAAGAACTTGATACTCGTTCTTTGAAATTTCGTTATTTACAATATATGTCAAATAAACTTTTTATACATTCTTAACTTCCATTAAAAAAATTTTATTGGAAATAAATACCTCTGATATATCATACAATTGTAGAGTAAAGTGAAGCCAAGTTAATCTTTTTAAGCTAAGGGTACAAAAATGCCTTTTTGTAGGATATAGCTTATATTGCATACTTCTCATGGAAAGTATTTGCATTCTATCCACACGACTTATTAAATGCAGAGCTTAAAAGCTAAGATAGTCTAAATAAACTTCATTCATTTTTGTAAAATTGTACGCTTATTAAAAAAAGACGTCATTCAAGTGGCATTAGAGGAATTTATTTTTGAAAAATAAAAACTTAATTGTTAACTGTTATCGTCTGTTACTTCACCGATTGATATTTATAAGTACTTAAAATTTAATAACACATCTTAGTTATACCACATATGCGTAGCACTAATAATAATGAGAGGGCACTTGTAATTTTAATCTTAAATATATTGATATTTTATTTAAGCTACGAGTTTTAATATTTCGTTTATAAATTACCTTCTTCTTTACTTCTGGTAGAGAATTCCATGGTTGAGTTTCAGCTGAACCAAACAATACAAAAAATAAGTTTGAAAAAAATAATATTCCAGCTCCAGTAAAAAATACATATCGCCATTGGGTAATAGATTTCTGCAGTAAAAAAAAATCAGAATTAGATAATTGTTTTGTAATTGTAATTAAATAAACTCACTTGGTCTTTAATAACAATCCCAACTACTAGTGGTGCAAATATTCCACCAGAAGATGCTATTGCGTTGGTAATGCCCATTAACAAACCAGCATAATTAGGTGAAAGATCCATATGGTTTAAATTGAATCCAAGATTGCAACAACATCCAATAGCAACGATACTAATGTAAAGAACTATAGTAGCAATGGCACTTTCATCGAGAAATCCCAATAGAATTAAGCCAAATGCACCACCCCACATAGAAACTGAATTCCACATTTTTCTAGATGTTGTCACTGACATACACTGCTGTTTATTAAATATTTCTGCTATATAACTTACTGGAATTTGTAATAGGAACATGGTCAGGTACGGTAAAGCGGTCAGCATTCCATTATCTTTGATTTTAAAATTGTGAACAACACTGATGAACGTGGGCATTTCACTCAACAGCAGCCAAAATCCCAATGATTGACCCAAATGGGATGAAGTAAGTGCCAAAAGTGGTAATGATGTAAATATTTCTTTCCAGGGTGTAACCTTAAATGTGTCATTCCATTTTAATATTAGTTAATTTACTAAAAATTAAATTCTATTATTTATTTGAAATCACTAAGGAATAAGATTTTAAGATAATTCAATGAAGTATTAAAACAGTTTTTTAGTATTTGAAAAAAACCTGCTTGGCTTAAAAATAAGTTATGAATTATTTCTAAATAGTGTCTAAGAGTTTTTAAAAAAAATTGCAAAATAATATTTCACACGTTAATATTATTTGCACTCTAATAACAATCGTATGAATACAAAATCATTTTACAGAGCTATAGATTGCGTCTTAAATAAGTGTTTGTTTAATTATTGTCTATATAGAAATAACCTTAATTTGCAATAAATATAATTAACTTGTATAGATTAACTAAAAAGCACAAATATTATGTGATTTATGCTTGTTCGAAAAAATAGAATATTGTGCAAAATTGTTAAACCATGAAAAAAGACACAAATTCTTTTGGATTTTCTAAAAAAAAAAACTAGTAAAAACTAATGTCAAAACGTTATGTATCTTTCAAGAGTTCTTTTAAAATTCTAGTTTTTAAAAAGTAGTGATAAATTTAAAAAAAAACGTAAATATTTTTACTATTAAATAAAATTGATAGAATTTTACCATAAAACAATATTTGTATCACTATAGTATGATACTTTTTAGGTACCATAAAGAATTTTTTGTTTGAAAATTATACACTCAAAGACTGATAATATTTTTATTATTCAAATTAATAAATTTAAATTGTTTCCAATTTAAATGTGTTAATTTAGAGAGAATTGTAGATTTTTATTAAAGATCGATCAAAACTCATAATAAATGATATTAATTACTTTAGCTTTGCTAGTAGAATGAGACAGGCCTTGTAATGATTCTTCTATGTATCTAATTTCGTGTCTACTGATAAGTGCATGAGCTTGAGGCGTTTCAGCACCCAAGAAATAAAATATGACTGCCCACGTTAAATTAATAGTACCGCCGACATAAAAAATACTTGGCCAACCAACTCGAGTGCTAGCCAACCAGCCAGATCCAGCTAACGTCGTCATGGTACCCAACTGTACACTACTCACGACGAAACCCATCAGACGTCCTCGTTCAACTGGCGGTATCCATCGGGCCATTATTCCATTGCACATTGGCATTAATAAAGATTGGACGAGACCTTGAACTAATCGAATCAAAAACAATGCTGTAGCTCCGTACGTGGTAACTGCAAGTGGTGTAACTAAAGCTAGTGCCGAAGTTGAAATGGTACTAAATAAGAGCAGAGTTTTATTATTGAAATGACATCCCAACACTGATCCAGGGAAATTACCCAACATGTAACCTATAAAAAACGAGGCTAGCAAAAGGCTTTTTGTCGTTCCGTTCCACTGGAAAGTGCTAATATGGTGAGTTTTCTCTTCAAAATAATCTGTGGAATTCATCTCCGGCGACATTGCCACTATAGCCACTGATAGATTTACTCTGATCAAATAAGCAGAGAAAATTCCAAAAAAAATAACAAGACCTTGTAAATGACGAACGCCGAATGTTGGTAGATCTAGTAAATAAATCGATAATATAAAAATGTTCAAAAATTATTCGGAATATATTAGCTTCGATGCGAAGCGGAGAAGGTATTAATTTTACTATGATGTGTTTTTTTTTTTTTTTTTTTTTTTTTTTTTTTTTTTTTTTTT